TGGGTTTGTACACAGAAATGTGGTCACGCAGGTAGGCAGGTCCCAAACTGTTCAGGGCTTTGTAGGTAAGAATCTGCACCTTGAATTGGGTCCGGAAAATAAATGGCAGCCAGTGGAGCTCCTTAAACTGGAGGGTTGACTGCTCCCTGTAAGGAGCACCAGTTAACAACCTGGCCACCACCCGTTGGACCAACTGAAATTTCCGAGCCGTTTTCAAGGGCAGCCCCATGTAGAGTGCATTACAGTAGTCCAATATGGAGGTGATTAAGGCATGGACCACCCTGGCCAGATCTGCTTTTGCGAGGTATGGTCACAGTTGGCGCACAAGTCTTAATTGTGCAAAGGCCCTCCCAGCCACCGCCGATGCCTGTGCCTCAAGCGTAAGTGATGAGTCCAGGAGGACACCCAAACTGCGGACCTGTGACTAGTTTTCCATAGACTGCTACCATATCGGTGCTCATTAACTAGATACGAGTTTTTTTCTTTCTTTCCCAGAAACTTCCCAGGAACTCACAACTGATGGCTTGTAAACTGTCAGTGCTTCAGGGACCACTGATTTAAGTAGCACTGGGTCAAGGGGCAAGACTGGCAGGGAAGAAAGAAATAGATGGTCCTGGTATGCATTTTGTGTAAAGTAACAAAATATATACAGTGGTATCTGTTCAGGTTTTATTCCAAGCCCTTGATGGATAGCAAAATCTATAGATACTCAAGTCCTATTATACTATGTAACATTTTTTTGTTCCTGGATTATAAATGTCATTTCCTAATTGGTTCTATAATAAAAGCATGAAAAATTAAACCTGCACAAACTTTGTTTTTGCGGGACATCCTGCAGCATATTTTGCGATAGTTTTTCAATATATTGTCGAAGGCTTTCGTGGCCGGAATCACTGGGTTGTTGCTATATGGCCATGTAGATGCGGGGAATGCCGTGGATGTAGCGTACCTGGATTTCAGTAAGGCCTTCGACAAGGTCCCCCATGACCTTCTGGCAAGGAAACTAGTCCAATGTGGGCTAGGCAAAACTACGGTGAGGTGGATCTGTAATTGGTTAAGTGGACGAACACAGAGAGTGCTCACTAATGCTTCCTCTTCATCTTGGAAAAAAGTGACAAGTGGAGTGCCGCAGGGTTCTGTCCTGGGCCCGGTCCTATTCAACATCTTTATTAATGACTTAGATGAAGGGCTAGAAGGCATGATCATCAAGTTTGCAGACGACACCAAACTGGGAGGGATAGCCATTAGCCAATAGTCCAGAGGACAGGAGCAGAATTCAAAACGATCTTGACAGATTAGAGCAGTGTTTCTCAACCTTCCTAATGCCGTGACCCCTTAATACAGTTCCTCATTTTGTGGTGACCCCCAACCATAAAATTATTTTCATCACTACTTCATAACTGTAATTTTACTACTGCTATGAATCGTAATGTAAATTGTATTTTTATTTTTACTCACTGGACCAAATTTGGCACAAATACCCGATACGTCCAAATTTTATTACTGGGGTGGTTTGGGGGAGGGAGTTGATTTTGTCATTTGGAAGTTGTAGTTGCTGGGATTTATAGTTAATCTCCAATAAAAGAGCATTCTGTACTCCACCAATAATTGAATTGAACCAAACTTGGCACACAGAACTCCCATGAACAACAGAAAATACTGGAAGGGTTTGGTGGACTTTGACCTTGAGTTTTGGAGTTGTAGTTCACCTACATCCATGCACAGACCATTGTGGACTCAAACAATGATGGATCTGGACCAAACTTGGCATGAATACTCAATATGCCCAAATGTGAACACTGGTGGAGTTTGGGGAAATTGGACATTGACATTTGGGAATTGTAGCTGCTGGGATTTATAGTTCACCAACAATCAAAGAGCATTCTGAACCCCAGCAATGATAGAATTGGGCCAAATTTCCCACAGAAAACCCCCATGACCAAGAAAAAACA